TTCCATAAAGAGAACAAAGGGTGAAAGTGAGACTGAACGGGATTTTAGTGCGTAGATGCATCAATCTTCCAAGAGAATGGTATGCGAGATGACAATATAACAGAGGATAAAAAAGGATGGTTGAAAGATACTACAGGAGTGCTATAGTATCGTGACTAGCATGTTATGCGGGAGCAAATTTGAGGCCTCTATGGCCCATCATATCCACAAGATACGTATTGTGAAAATGAAGATATGTGTGGACATACAAGATTGGATAAGATAAGATATAATTACATCATACAAAGGGTAATAGGAGCATATATAGAAAAATAAATTGAGGGAATGATGCCTGAACCTGAGATCATTTAATCATGTCTTAAGTAGACTTCCAAAAACACCGGCCCAGTGATGCAACAACATGGTGATTGGAGGTGCTAAATGAAACCCATAGATCTAAAATCACATGGAAAAAGTTGTCTAGAAAACTTTGAATTTCTATCGATCAATGGGACTTACCTAGGAGCATGACAGAATGTGAACGAAGGATCCATTGACGTGATATCAACTAGTTGAACTAAGGGTTGGTTGATGTTACTCTTAAATCAGGTCCACGTAGGATAAGTGTGAGATATAAATAATCTCTAGTTTTAAAGAGCCCCTGATTTCCCTTGGAAGAATTCTTTTTAACCATTATTAGGACACGCCTCAACACTGAAATTGTAGAGAATTCATATAACAAACCCCAAATTTGGAATTGAGGCATGGTTGACTGCTTGATTGATGGATAATCACAAGGTCGACGACTACTTCATCTATAGTAGATACATCTTATGAATCAAAAAGGAGACACTACAATCACCTTATGTGAGACGCCAGCTTGGTCATAATATCTTTTAGCAACTTCAATTGATTTCCCATCTCTTTCACAAGCAACTAAATGACCTTCTTCTGGAAGGACCAAAGCAACAGCCAAGGATGAATACCCCTGTGACAAGATCAACTCATATTAATGATCGATAGTACAGCCGATAGCAGAGGAAAACAACAGCAGTCAATTTACTAACAGAGAAAGCAGATAAATATCATGAGACCCTCCTACTCATGCCTTCTCTTCTACAACCGTGAGCCTCTCCCACCATCCCTCCTCTCTACTCCATTTCTTCCATAACATAATACCTACCCAGCAACCAATATGCTGTTACATTCTCTTTTACGAATATTTTCAGGCCAGCTTTTCTTTAGGCCCTTCACCTCTATAAGGGCCACCCTATGCCTATACTCTTCAATACGAATAGTCTTATGATGAATACAAGGAAATATTTTTCCCTTCACGTAATAAAATTGGAACTATACAAAGAAGATATAAGAGAAGATCAAGTTCCCTCCCTCTCCTCTTTATCTTTAAACTCTTTTTGTTACTTTTGGCACCATAAACATCCATGAAGGATAACAGAGGTTGGATAAGAGAGGTGAAAACTTCAATCTTGTCCCATACTAAGTAGTAAGTACGACAGGAGAAGGTGTACATACTCAAACACAGCCAGTCCCACACTCAAATTCCAAATCCAATCTATTCAATTAACTGTCTTCAACAAATTCCTGGTTTCAATCTCAGTTTTCCAGCTTTTGGCATTTTAAACTTGCTACTTGAGTAGGTTTTGCAGCATAAATTGTCAGCAGTGCACCATATATTCAACAAAGAGAACGTATATGAGGTAAGAAGAGCATAAGACAAATGTATAAACCAAGAGGATGGGTTCATATACATACAGTATACGTGCCCACTTCAATGCACCTTTTTGCCCCAAGAATCTGGACGAGCATAGCAAGTAGTTGTGCTTGATCCGGTGACACCTATTACTAAGAACAACAGTCAGCCAACATTGAAGTCCAAATAAATCATTTTGTCAATTTCGTCACGAGAAAAATCATCATCACTAATCACAGTCCTATCTTGTAAAGCAAAGTTCTAAAACAATAAAAAAGAGGGAAATTTAAGTTCCAGTTGACCTTCAGAGATTTTTGCAGAGGGAGAAGGTTTATCCCCTCAAGGTCTCAAATTACTAGCATAAAATAGGAGAAAGTAAACTTTCAAGACTCTCAGTTGAAAGAGGAAGAAGTTTCCTCCCCACCCCCACCCATTACTATCAAAGTACATGCTAAAAAAGTTTATTCACAACATGTTCTTTCACAAAAGATTCCCAACAACCGCATCTCGTCCACTCCATCATAAGATGAGTGACTCAGATTGTGTTTCATTTAAAATTACAAATTTTCTTCAATTAAACATAAAGAGTCAGTTTTCATATATTTATTCGAGTGAATTTCAAAGAATAAACTTAGTATACAAGCACTGAGATCTTTTTTTCAAGTCAGACTCAGTCAGTAGTTGTTGTGTGTGACTTGGAGCCACACATCCAATAACTTTCTGAGGACCAAGGGTCATAATAACATCCATAAATAAACCTTTTTGGAAAAGAACCTTAGTTTTTTGATGAATGAAGAGACTCTCGATATTTACATACAGAAACTTAACAGGTTACTAAAGTCTTAGATTATAAAGGTATCACGTGCATGTTTCAAAACTATGCACAGCGGAACAGCGGTAATGTGTAACTTACTTAGGAGGTAAAGGAAACAACAGATAGCAAAGCCTAGGCTGACGAATTACCTGCATCTGACTGCCTCGCATTGTTGCTGTCTCCTCCCTAAGTTCATGCAAAATCTGAATGCAACCAAAAAAAAAAAAAAAGATAAGGAAATGAAGTCCAGATAGAGTACCTCCTTCTTTTCTTTCTTTTTATCTTTCCTTTCCCAATGTTTGCTTCTCTTCTCAAATTAAAATGGGTTTGCAACCAGAGCATTCACCTTTGGTTCTCTAATGTTTGACAATATGTAGTCATAAAGTGGCGAATCGACACTTATAATTTGTTTACCACCATATCTAACATCACTTGCAACAGTAACTGGACTATCATGAAGGTTTGATGCCTGAAGCTGACAAAAGGAGAGAGCAGTTGCAGGCACATGCCTCGTCAAGGCTGACACATTTATGTGGTATATCAATGGAAAGAAACACCCATTAAATTTAGGTTGAGATAATGCAAATGAGTTGGTGCAGCGAAGCACCATTCGGCTGGACATGGGAAAAGTAATCAGCAGCCTATAGAGTTCAAGGAAGTTGAACTCCCTGCAAGAAAACAAGTATAAAATGAAGCACTTAGGAGAGTTAAAAAATAGGATACTAAAACTCAAATTAGCCAAGTGTTCTAACATTCTCCCAGTACCTCTTGAGTGCTATGCCCTTTTAATATTAAATTATAGGCAATAGAAGGAGCTAATATGAAAGAAAACAAACTTCCTTCTTTTTGGGATTTATCAATTCATTTCATAAATAACGAGGGTATACTAATGGTGGGTTATGAATTTTAACAAAGATAACGAGGATATTAATTAAATTCCCAATTACTTATAGTGCCACATTCTTGATTATTCAACCAGGTATCCTCTCTGCCCGCTTAACTGTTGTCACTAATACTAGTAATTGAAGGTCCAGACACCATGTTTTTAATGCATGTAAGGCTTATGGTACTTATGATTAAGAAGTGAAATATGACAGATTTTTTAGCTACAAGCTACAAGTTCGATTAAAACATCAGAAAGAAGAAAACTCATAGATTGGCAAAAAAAAAAAAAAAAAAAAGCTAGTAGCATTGGCGCGATGCAGCTTTCTTACAAGAATCATGTATGACCCTACTCTAGTGCTGCGAATTTTATATTTTAAATTGACATATGGATCCATTTGGAAGGTAGGATTGTAGCATCGTATAATCCAGATCACAACAGAGGTAGATCTTCTAGGCTTTTAACACATTTATATGCCTCAAATTAAGATTTCCTCTTTGGCGTTGCTTTACATTTAGAGGAAATGAGGAATCAGATATGGTCAAATGGAGCATAATCAACATATAGATGGTGCTTGAGAAGATGCATCATATCAAATGGATGCTTCCCTTCAATTCCTGATATAGTACAAACCAAATAACAGTTTGCCTCTATCGGCAAAATCTAACATGGTACCACAGTCATTGCTCAAGCCTATAGTTAAATCATTCAGCTTCTGCAAACCCCCCACATGCTAACCTATGTTTTTCACCCAATTATCCGTCTTATTTACGAATAATGGAGAAAGAGTAAGCGGACCCAACCCGAGTAGACCCACAGGTTCGAAACTCAAAGTGTATGCCCCAAGGGTTCTACCCTGTTCCCACTAAAAAACCAGACTTCAGTCAACAGTAGGGTTCAAGCTCGTAAAAATGCACCCTACTCACAAATCCTACATTGCATCATTACCACTGAAACAAAGCCTTGGGTTCCAACCAATTATCCATCTTGTGAAATGTTTCTTCTCCTGCTTTCGGAGTTCGTTTTTCCTATTCGTCACCACCCGTGGCGAATCCAGAAATTTTACTAAGGGGTGTCAAAATATAGTATGTATGCATAGTGGACCTTCCAAATTTCTATTTTCCATAATTTCGGTAGTTCACAACCCTTAGATATCATCTTAGTCAGCTATTTCTAATTCTCCACAGTTAAAACATCCCTCCTAACCAATATGTATATTTCATAGTGGACCTTGGTTTTCTGATTTTCAGTTCTTTGCATTAACCAGTCCTAAATTAAGTGTAGCTATATCACAAGCTCATGTAACAACTAACAAACGAGAAAGAAAAAACTTTATTCAACGAAAATAAAATGGAATGAAAAATAAATAGAGAGAATTGACGAACCTCAAAGAAATCTCTGGGGAACTGTTGGGAAAATTAGCCCAGAAAGAAGCTCTGGTTCTTCAGTTTGCTTTGTTTGTTTTCCCTTTAATTCCACCAACAAAGATAAAGCTGTACGAATTGTCAAATTTAGACATCATTATGCCAAACTGTATGACAAACTTTAAGGGCATAACAGTAATTTAAATTGTAGTTTTTATTCGTATTCAATGAAAAACGATAAATATTTACCTTCCATTTTCACTAAACAGTGACTCAAAAACAAAACAAAACCTAAAACCCCTAAACCTCAACACTCAACAATGGCAGCTACAACAAAGCTTCTCCAACTCCGGCCAAAACTCAAACCTTTCCCTGAACCCAACCCCATTTTCCCCCATTTCTTCTCTTCGAATTCAAATTCCGATCACCCCCAAATCCCTAATAATACCCTACCCCCTACCTCAGAACCCCCCACACCTAAACCCTTCTCTTTTTCCTCTATCCCCAATAATCCCAGAAACCAAAATCCTTCTTCTAAAACCCCATCATTAGAAGAAATTAGAAAAAACCTCGCTGAATTCCGCCGCCGTACTGATTCTATTCCTCCACCGCCGTCATTTCAAGAAATCTACAAAAGAAATGTCAATAATGCCCCTAGACCGGGCCCCACCGGAAAGTTTGACCTCAGCGCCATTCGCACTAACCTCCGTAACTTCAACAACAATAACAACTACAACCAGAATAATGAGAATAGAGGGAAGTTGTTTGACTCGTTATCGCTCTCGCGATATAAGGATAGTTTTAAGTTGAGACCCAATATGGATAAAGTGATTGGTGGGAGTGAGAATTTGCCTGTGTCGATTTTTGGTAAGGAAATGATGAGGGATAAAGAGGGTGGTCATAAGGAAGGGACGAGGGCTGAGTTTGTTAGGATGTACAGTCATGGTGAATTAGGTGAGAAGTTGAAAATGTTGAGGCCCGCGAAAAAGAAGGAGGGTGAGAAGGGTTGGTTTTCGTTGAAAGAGTTGAACGATAGATTGGCGAAGCTAAGGGAGACTGAGGAGAAAGAGAGCGAGTCGAGGATGGCTGGCGTCGGGTTTAGGGAATTGAAAGAGTCTCTTGTTACGTTGAGGACTCACAATGAGGAGAAGGCTAATAGGACAATGAGTGAGTTTGCCTTTTTTTTTACCTCATCATATTTGGGTGCAATATTGGTGTTCGCTTATGTATATGTTTATTTGGATAACTTGTGTATAATAAATGTGATGCTGTGACTTGTTTAGTTATATTTTATATATGCAAGTGTGATCAAATGCTAAAAGCAGTGAGAAGCACCTATTGCTACCAGAACTGTTAAGCATAAAGCTCATGCTTTAGTGAATAAAGGTGTGAGGTAGAAAATACATGGGACATATATGTATAAGCAGAAACAATTTTTTATATATGGAAAGGAATTGAGAACTACGATTAATTGTTGTTGGGAGGTTAAGTTTTGATTTATTATTGCTGAAAGAAATGTAAGTGTAGCTGCACCTAAGGGTGTGGTCTAGCGTTCAATTGGGATGAAAATCATGGGGGATCAAAGTTCAAATCCTAGCCGAAGCAAACAATTGCTAGGTGATTTCTTCCCATATGCCTAAGAATTGGTGGTTGAGTTACTTGTTAGGAGTTAGCAGGTATCAGGAAAGAATAATTGAGGTGCGCAAAAGCTCGCTGGACGACCTCCATTATATATATGTAAAAAGAGATGTAAGTGTTGCTTTTGTGGTAATATAAAGTAGTTGGAATTAATTGAGGTCATACAAAGTGGCTAATGATTGAGTCATTGGTCTGATTCATCTCTTATGAATATATATTTTCCCCATGAATCTTCTATAGGAACCCAGTTCCATAAGAGCTGCTCTTGCAATTACCATTTATAGAAGAGTTCTATACTCATAAAATGTATATATTGTGGAAAATGTGCAAAGCCTTCACAATGATGTCAAAGGCTTGTTTCTATGTTTGCAATCTTATTGTGTTCAATTAGTGTGCAATAGGCCACTTTGCTAGTAATGCGCTTGGATTTCTTATTCATTAGTCAATGCAGTGTGCATCGACGGCTAATATCACTTCTTGTTTTCTTTAATATAAGCTACAACTAGATTTAGGTCTGGCGCTTCCTTCCTTGTGAGCAGCAATGCTTGTATTTTTCGAGGAGATGGTGCGAACACATTTATGATACATTGATTACAATTACTTTTTACAGTTCAGAGACTTGATGTCTTGGGGCAGCTGGGTGGTACCCCAAGCTTTATGTTGCATCCACCAAAAGAAGAATTGGTTGAAAAGGTAATAAGTATTTTGTTCTCAATTATCTTTCTGTCAATGATTCTGCTATTTCTAATTTGATTACTCATGATAAACCTTTTTGATGTCCAATCTGCACTCAATAGTTTTTAAGTATTTGGTTTTTTTGAATGTGAGTCACCTATGAAGCATTCATTTCAGGGATCTGAATGGTATTTTGCCTTCAGTGATGATCTGAGCAGCAAGCAGTCTTTTCTTTCTTTAGTAGAAAATCTAGGAGTGGATGCATTTGGCTTTAAAATCTAAAAGCAACATTTGAGACACGAGAGATTAAACCAGACCTTAACACTAACCATGATACTTTTTGCTGATTTTTGTTAATTTTAACAATTAAGATGTTATACATAATCCTGCATTAGAGCAAAAGGTTAAGGCAATTATGCGAGTTTCATTTTTGCTTTACCATTTGTATAAAAAATAATATCTTGAGGTGGCTTTCTTATAATTTGGATATGCTATTTTGGGGTCAATCTATTAAGAATAGGGTTGCATAGTTATGGTTCTTTTCCATCAAAATTTAATTTTATTCAAGACAAGTTATTACAAATACAAGAGCGGGCGGCGATTGTATGAACCAGCGTGCGGACTGTATGAATCAAATATCGTAGTGATGATTCACATGGGTTTCCACCATATGTAGTTCATTTTCATTGTTCATAACCTCCATAGGAAGGTGTGGAGGTTGAGAATAAAGGTAAAGGGTTAGAATATGTTGCCTAGTGTTGTCCTTGTCAAGCTCAGGCAGGAGTAGGACATTCCATACAAATCTTTCTGATCCGCTAGCTGGTGGTCCTCTCCTTAGAGTCAAGTGGCTTTCAGCTCCTCTCAAATCCCATTTTTTCATTGACAGGTAGGGTGAATTCTAAGGTTTTGTAACAGTAGCTTTAGTAAATGAGTTAGCGTTAGTTATGTATTTTCGTATTTCTTGATTTATGTGATTACTTGTCGTTGCTTCCATTTTGGCCTTCTGATTACAATACTCCGTTTTAGTTTTGTATCCTTGTATTTTTTCTTCGGTTTTAGAATTGGTGTGATTACTGCTGCCCTTCCTTTTATCTTTCTTAAGACGAGGGTTTTTCAGAAACAACCTCTCTTCTTGAAGGTAGGGGTAAGATCTGCGTACATACTACCCTCCCCAGACCCCACTTGTGGGATTACACTGGGTTTGTTGTTATTGTTGTTGTTGCTGTATACTTAACTTTAGAGTTAAGAAGAAAAAAGGTCTTTTTTTTCATTGTCCAACAACAACAACGACAACAACAGTGTAATCCCATAAGTGGGGTATGGGGAGGATAGAAGGTACGCAGTCTTACCCCTACCTTGTGAAGGTAGAGAGGCTGTTTCCAATACACCCTCGGCTTAAAGAATCATGCATAATCACAACAGTATAAAGAACAAACATAGGTTTTTATTTATTTTGGTTATCCAAATTATCTATAAAAAAGATTAAGATGTATATTTGGTCAGACTAAATTGCTCTTTGTCATATTGCATATCAATTTGATCTATTTGTCCAGTTTTTGTTTAATTAAGCAAAACAAGAAAAAAAAAACATAAAAGAAAAGGGGAGGCATGGTTGATGGTTGTCTTGATTTGCAGCCATAATTTTGCAGAGCTCATCCATGATTTTGTACTCTCTTATTGTTCTTTCTGTTCATTACTTCGTTTAGCTTAGCAAGTAGCATCAGTTATCTGATTTCTATTGTCCATGTGGCTGTCATTCATTTAAGTGAATGTAATAACTTATGCACAATTTTGAACAGTATTTCCACCCAGATAACATGTCATCCGAGGAAAAAATGAAACTGGAGCTACAAAAAGTGAGAGATGAATTTAAAATGTCAGAGTCGGATTGTGGCTCATCACGTGTTCAAGGTCAGTGTTCTTGTTCCTCCCCCCCCCCCCCCCCCCCCACTATTTGATATTCTTGGTGCTCTTTATGCTACTTTTGAGGTTCCGTTGGGTAGTTTGTATCTGGCTTTAATATGGAAGTTGTTCTAGATACTTTCCACTTGAGCAGATTCTATGTTCTTTTCTGTTTCTAGAGTAGATCTTTTTCCTAGAAAGAGCTTTTTGTCTACACTGATACACAGACCTATCTATATATCAAACATAACCCACAGTCACTCTTCCTTCATTGGACATTATCCTCTGCCCCTCTCCTAACATAACACCACTTTCCAGCATTTAAATTCAAGCTGATTCCCGTGTTCTTCCGCAAGGCTAATTTAAATTATTCCTCTGATTTTTGATAGTTAATTGCAGTGCCATGGAATAATCTATATCCTGTAGAAAGCAGTATTAATTTGCTTGGAATCTGCTTTTCTTCTGATTGTCTACAATGTGGAGACCAAGAAGGGTAATGACTTCCAAGTTCCAAGTCAAGCTAGCGAGCTGAGTGTAGTCAGTCAAACATTTAGGTTCGCAGAGATCTTGACCCAAGTTTTTAGGATAGCTAAAAGACCAATAACATTAAGTTATGAGACTTGGAAGACAAACGGTCTAACCAAGTTTGGGTGTTAAAAATTGGAGTCCATTTTCCATCATTTCCGAAGGTGCAATTACTGCTCACAAAAAAAGGTGCATTTGACTGCATCGAGTTTGTTCAACATGATTTGACTGGTAGTTCCCTTGTGATGATTTACTTAGGAAATACATTAAAAATTTGTAATGCATTTGAAAAGGGGGAATCTATGTTTCTTTGATCAATGAATTCTGATTAATAAAGGTCAGTGTTGTGAAGAGCGTGAAGCGAGGAGAAGCGACAACCCCCATTTCACGAGAAGCGAGAAGCGAAGCGCTCGCTTTTTGTAACTGAAGCGGAATTTAAAAAAAAATTTAAAATAAATACTGCATAGACAACACATGTAATTGTAAGCAAATGTTCAATACTTCAATTAAAAAACTAAAGAATAGCATCAATTAAAGCACAAAATGAGCATTCTTATTCTTCTACAAGATTGTCAAATTCTTGTATTCCACTATCATTATTGTATTGCTCGTCATCTTCTTCAACTTTTCTTCTCCGTCAACTAGGTTCAAAGTAGTTGCCTCTTTTCCCTTCCTCTGTGAACTTGAAGTTGAGGTACTCCGCCTTCAACCATAAATCCTCTTCCCAATTCCACGCGCCTCTGCAACATCACCCCAAGTGAAATAAGAAATATCCTCAAATACTTCTTCATCTGCATGATCTTCCAGGACTCCAACTAGCCATTCATTAGCATCATCGATGTTGTCCAAACTAATTGGATCAATTACATTGCGAGCGTTGTAACGACGCCTCAATGTTCTATTGTACTTAATGAAGACTAGATCATTGAGATGCTTCAAGGTTAGTTTGTTCCTCTTTTTGGTATGAATTTGCAAATATTAAGTAATTAGTAAGATTAGGACAATTGAGATATAATTTAATTATCTCAATATACTAAATCTTTCTTATTAGTTCTTACATGCTCAAACACGCTCCAATTCCTTTCACACCCGGATGAGCTACATGTTAGTCTTAGAACCTTGATGGCAAACTTTTGTAAATCTGGAGTGGAATGACCATATTGCTTCCACCATTCAACTGTAGAAGTAGAACAAATTTTCAAAACATAATATTGATAAAGAAATAACTTATTAACTATAAAACAACATATAAGCACTCGCTCACCTGGTGACTTCGTCTTTCTTTGTCTAATGGCCATGTTTTTTCCAAAAAGTTGCTCAGCATTCCTATAAATACTAAATTGCTCTGTGATTTTATCTTGCACGGATTCTTCAGGTATCAACTTCTCAATACATTCATAGTATCCATTCCACAAAGGTTCATCTCCTAGAATCCTCTCTTCAGGTTCAAAACAAGTCCAGCTGCATGCAAAGGGCTATGAAGCTTACTATCCCACCTTTTATCTATGATCTCAAAGACTCTTTTTGTATTTTCTTTGATCACTAAAAGAGGCTTGAATAGCCTCCTTTGCCCTATCAATTGCTTCGTACAGGTAGCCCATTGGTGGCCTTTGCTCCCCATCCACCAAACGAAGCACTTTAATTAAAGGACCACCAATCTTCAATGCATGAACCACATTGTTCCAGAATGAAGGAGAAAGTATAATATGTGCAGATTCTCTCCCTCGAGCTTCCCTTCCATAGGCACTGCTAGTGTACTCATCTGAAACAAACAACTTCTTCAAATTGCTTTTTTGCTCATACATCCTATGCAAAGTTAAGAAAGCAGTAGCAAATCTTGTCTTTGCAGGTTTCACCAAGCTTCTTTGTTTAGTGAATCTCTTCATCATGTTCAATAACAAAGGCCTTTGAACAATATAGGAATGCACTCTAATTGCCTGATTAAAGACAGTACTGAAGGGTCTTTCCTTGAAAATATCACCGAAGATCAAATTAACAGAATGTGCTGCACACGGAGTCCAATAGATATGCGGGTACCCAACAGACATCAAATCACCAGCTTTAACATTTTCACTGGCGTTGTCCGTGACAACTTGAACAATATTTTCTGCTCCAATAGAGTCTATTGTACTTTTGAACAAGGAGAACATTTTGGTTGAATCTGTCGAAGAGTCACTTGCATCAACGGACTCAAGAAACAGGCTTCCCTTAGGAGAATTCACCAAGATATTGATGATCATTTTTCCATTTCTCGCCGTCCACTTATCCATCATAATGGAACAACCAAACTTGTTCCATTCTACTTTGTGCTCCTCCACGATTTTGTTCACCTCTTCCACCTCCTTTTTTAGATATGACCCTCTAACTTCATAATAAGTTGGAGGCTTCATTCCTGGACCATATTGGCCTACAACCTCAATAAAAGCAGCAAAAGCGTCAGTATAATTAACACAATTAAAAGGAAGACCTGCATTATACATCCACCGGGCAAAGCAGGTAACTGCACGGTCCCTCAAAATCGCTTTGGCATCAACTTGAGGATTACTACTTTTTCCTCCCTTATCTCCAGATTTTTACAGGAAGTAACAATCCATAGGACCTTTGATCTTGCCAGTAGATCCACAACTAGAAGACATTGGTTGAAGCATCCTTCCGCGCTTTTGTGATTTTGGTGGAAGCGACGAGGCATCGTCACCTTCTTCTGTTTCATCATCATCATCATCATCAAGATTATAAAGTTCTTGTTCATGAATCATTTGAGTCTTTAACTCTTTCTTTTTTTTAATGTATGCTTTCAATTCTTCCTTCACATGCCCCGGAACTTTAGGACAAGATGCGACATTTGGATCACCACCGATTAGATGCGCTTTTTGACGATAGATTCCTCCATTTGTAATCTTATCACAAAAAAGACATCTAATGGTCATCTTGTTGGTCTCGCTAACTCTTGTAGAGCAAGCCCAAGCCGGTCTTTCCTATCTTCTTTTGGCGCCATTAAAAGAACAACTACATAACACATAAGAAAGGCAATAAGAACTAAGAATAAAAGATATATAATTGGGCAAAATTTGGGCAGAATTTTTCTGAAAAAAGTTCGCCAGCATTTCGGCGCTTTTTGGACGTTTAGAAAGAAAAAGAAAAAGAAAAAGAAGAAAGAAGAAGAAGAAGAATAATGAAAATAAAAAAGTGCAAAAGCAAAACATACCTGTTGAAACTTGAAAGCTGTCGCTGTAATGTTGAAAAAGAAGAAGAACCCTAGTTTGCTTGAACAAATTGCTGCTTGAAGTGAGGAAGAAATCGCTGGTTTTAGTGAGGAAGAAATCGCTGGTTTAGAACCCTAGTTTGCTGCTTAAGAAGTCGAAGAAGTGTCTAAAACAGAAGTCAGCGATTTGGGTCTTTTAATTCAAAAAGCGACCGCTTCTTCCGCTCCGCTCCGCTCCGCTTCACCGCTTCTCGCTTTTTAGAGAGAAGCGGTCGCTTATGTGTACCTGAGCCGCTTTTAATTGGAGTAGCGACCAGCCCCTCGCTCCGCTTCGCTTCTCGCTTAAAGCGAGGAAGCGGGCGCTTTTCTCATCACTGCAATGGACATAATTTAGTGTAGCAAAGTCAAAATTTAAGTAATAGAACCTTTGAGGCAAGTTGTAAAATTAGTAGTAAAGTGCACTGTTTTAATTCTGAGTCTAAATTATTACCAGGATTTATGAACAACGGATATTCATCGGTAGGTTTGAGAGTTCTCCTATTGCAAGCCAATATGTAAAGTTTTTGGTAGCTGGATGAAAATGATCCAATATGCATTAAAGCTTTCTTTAGTTGAATTACTTCTTTAGCAAATTCAACATATCTTGCTCTTCGCTATCGGCTATGTTTTCAGTTTTGTTATTGTTGTTGTTGTGTGTGTGCGTGCATGCGTGTGTGTGAAGAAGTTGAGGTGCCCGAAGGCAATTGTTGGCTTTATTATTCATCCTTTTTATATAAATAAAGGTATATAGTGACAGTAAAAAGTAGAATCACTTTGTATAAATTTTGCACAAGAAGTACTAATATGTATTCTTTCAGTTTTCCTCCAGGTTTTGGCTTGGGGTCAATTGGCATTAATCGCTGCTGCTAGCGAAGCACTTCCTGCTATTATGGCATGTGTTCTTCTTAGCAACGTTGGAGCATCCATTACAGAAGTTGCCAAAGATGCTCTTGTGGCCGAATATGGTCAAAGAAACAGAATTCCTGGTCTACAATCTTATGCATTTATGGCTTCAGCTGCCGGTGCTATTTTAGGTAATTTGATTGGAGGATATTTCCTACTCAAAACACAGCAACCTAAGTTAATGTTTCTAGCCTTTTCCGCTCTGCTTGCTCTTCAACTAGCAGTAACTTCAGCTACCAGAGAAGAGTCACTTGGTTTAGCTCAATCATTAAATTATTCTGCTGCTAGGGAACCAATCACGGAAATATTTCGAAAACAGTATTTGGATCTTATGGTAGCAGTTAGAGAAGAAAGTATTGCTCGTCCTCTTATATGGATTGTTGTGTCCATTTTAGCCGTCCCAGCCCTCTCCGGATCTATCTTTTGTTATCAGTCACAATGCCTAAATCTTGATCCATCAGTTATAGGGATGTCAAAGGTGATAGGCCATATGATGCTTCTATCTTTGACAGTCTTGTATGATCGGTTTGGCAAAAGGGTTCCAATGAGAAAACTGATTAGCGTCGTGCAGATTACATATGCTGCTTCTCTTCTTCTTGACCTTGTACTTGTAAAGCAGCTTAATCTCAAATTGGGAATTCCAAATGAATGGTTTGCTCTTTGCTTCTCGGGTCTAGCAGAAACTATTGCAATTTTTAAGCTCTTGCCGTTCTATGTGCTGTTTGCAAGTTTGGCTCCATCTGGCTTTGAAGGATCTCTCATATCTTTCTTGGCGTCGGCTCTGTGTTTGTCTTCAATATTTAGTGGGTTTCTAGGTGTTGCCCTGGCTAATTTCCTTGGTATAACGTCCGGTGACTACTCAAATCTGCATATTGGGATACTTATCCAGTTTATTGCAGCACTACTGCCGCTGGGATGGCTCAGTTATGTCCCTATGGCTCAACCTGCATCTGAAAAGGAAAGGAAGAGAAGTGTTAGTAAAAGAACGAGAAAAAACAGAAGGGTAGGGAAAGTAGTTGTTGATTCATTCTATTCTTATAGACGCAAAAGAGAATCTGATTTAATGAGATGAGAATTTTGTAGCTAGCTGGCAAATATTCAGAGTTCAAGAAAATTTGAGTCATGTCTTAGTCTACCGATGAGGAATTGGTGATGAGGACAGACAACTCATGACCAGTCTCTGGTACGTTATGAAATTCACCTGTTGCAGTGATTTTGATATGGTGTTTCTTGCGAAGAGTTATAGCCATGCAGCTGATTTCTTGGATTATTTCTGGGCTCTGCTAAGAAGCGCATTTTCTACTAGAGCAGATGGAAGAAAGAAAATGTAGCCTATTGACATTGTGTAAAATGTTACTTGCATGATCTATTAATCATCTGAGTCACAGAGAGTCCAGCGGGTGTCGTTTCCAGATCCGTATACGCACTCCTCACTGATCTGAAGGCCGGTTTTGAGTAGGATTCCTCGCACTGTATTGCTGTTTGCAGATGATATAGGCACTCCTCACTGATCCGAAGGCCGGTTTTGAGTAGGATTCCTTGCACTCTATTGCTGTTTGCAGACGATTGCAGTCTGACATGCCAATTTGCTGAGATTAAAGCATATTTCTGAAAGAAAAGGTGAAGAATTTGAATGTGGTCACTGACACAATACTGTTTTTGCATTGGAAGGTTAGATGTTCAGTCATTGAGCTTGTCCAAAGAATTAAAAAAGGAAAGGAACTAACAGAAGAGAAAAGGTTGCCAGGATTAATATTAACGTTTGGTGATTTCTTTTTGTCTACCTTAACCTTGGTGTGCAGAGTTACTCGATACTTGTGTTAGTGGAGATAGCAGATACTTGGTGAACTAGTCGAGGTGTGCGCAAGTTTTTTTCCGGAAGCCACTCTTATAAAAAAAAAGGAGAAAAAAGAGGGCTAGGATGCGCAAGGGTGCTTGTAAAATTACTAATCAATGAATACATTACTTTCTTAACTTTCCATTGTTGCGACCTGTGCTCAATATGGAGAATAAAAGATGAGTCAAATTAAACCACCACACGCTAATCTTCTTTGACTAGTTATATAAGGAATGACACAAGTTCACATGCTTTTGGGGCTCGAGGTGCGTAGCCTAAAATGATAAATCCGTGCGGACCTAGGCCCAAAACAGACAATACGTGCCATAGGCTTGGATTGTGACACATATGTGAGCAAGGCATGCACAATATCTTTTTCCCCTCCGTTCCAAGTTGTTCAAGACATATCGCACAGTCATCATTCATACATTCATCTTCATCGATCTCCATTCTCTCTGGCAATTGCCTTATGGACGATTTACTAGTAGGTAACACAATGAAGCGCGACCATAATTTGTCTTCTTCTAGTCTCAGATCCCAAACATACTCAATTTTAAGAGTTAAACCAACGAACATGTCCAAGTTTTGGTGAGTACTACGACTACCATCCCTTAACTCATCATCAACAAATCGACGTATCTCACATATCAAATTATGGATGAGAGCGTCAGGGGCAGAGCTAGGTGGACGAAAGGGGTTCAACCGAACCCTTTTCGCAAAAAATTGTATTGTATATAAGATAATTTTTTTTCTTATATAAGTATATTAGATGTTGAATTCCCTTAGCTTTTTCGCATGTTTATTTTTCTTATTTTTTGGATTCACTTGGTGAAAATCTTATGAAAATTCTGCTTCCACCACTCGAGAGCGCGTGATGACAACTCTCAAACTGGTCACCACCACCCCAGTTGTTGAGATTTCTTTGCATGACATGGTAGAACATGTCAACTTAATTTGACACGAAATGGGTCGGTTAATTAATTCGGGTCCTCCTGATTAAGAAAGATACAAAATGATAAAAATATGAAAATGAGAAAAAACACAAAACTAAACTAAAGTAAATCTGTAAACATGGAACTTGTGGGATTCTGGAAAAAGAAATTTAATAAACAGCAAACTCAATAACGAGGCCAATAAATAAAGTATATCATTATGAAACCATTCGTTTGGTAACTTAGAGGTATGAAGACTTGAATAGATAGATGGAAAATACTGTGTGTTTTATTGAATGCCTCAATGAGTTTAAATACAAGTTACAATAACCATCTTTTGTAGAGTTCTATGTAAACCTGATAACTGACGAATCCATCTAAATCAAAGGGATAACTCTAAATGCCTAACTATAATATCATCTATTCTAGAAGATAAATGCAATCTAATCTAAAGAGATAAATACTAAAAACAAACTGATAACTATAACAACAACTGGTGATCAAATACGCCCCCCTCAAGTTAGGCTATGTGTCACTAAGCCTAACTTGAACAAATTGCGTTCAAAGGCTGGTTTGGCTAGTGCTTTTGTGAGCATATCAGCTAGTTGGTCAGCAGAATGAACATGAACAACTCGAACCACCTTCTGTTCAACATTATTGCGCACAAAATGAAAGTCCACCTCAATATGTTTCATGCGACTATGAAGGCCCGGATTCTCGCTTAGATAAGTAACACCAATGTTGTCACAGTAGATAGTAGGGGCATCTCTGACAGGAAGTCGCATCTCAAGCAATAGGTTTCTGACCCACAGAAGTTCGGCGAGTGCATTGGCAACAGCTCTATATTCAGCTCCAGTTGATGAGCGAGCTACAGTCTTTTGCTTTTTAGAAGACCAACTGATAGGATTGCTATCAAGAAACAGAATATAACCGGATGTGGAGGATCTATCAGTAAGATCTCCAGCCCAGTCCGCATCAGAGTACATACGCAGATTGAAATCAACATTCGGGGACACACGTAGGCCAAACTTGATCGTACCACGAAGGTACCTAAGAACTCGCTTCACAGCTTTCCAATGAAGATCAGATGGGGATTGCATAAATTGGGATAATTTATTGACTGCATAGGAAATGTCCGGCCTTGTAAACGACAGGTATTGAAGTCTGCCCAAGACTCGACGGTAGCGAATCGCATCAGTTAACGGAGCCCCATTATTGAGTTTGAGCAATTCAGAAGCACTCATCAGTGTGTTTGCGCTCTTACAATCAGCCATCAATTAATCATTCAGGATTTCATTGATATAAGTGGCTTGCGAGAGAATAATGTCATCAGTGTGTCGAACCACCTCAACACCAAGAAAATAATTGAGATTTCCCAAATCTTTAATGGAGAAGCGAGAGGCAAGAGAGGCTATAACTTTATTGACGGTGATAGAGTTGCTGCCAGTTACTATTATGTCGTCAACATATACCAAAATAAAAATGAAACCAGCATTACTATTTCTGATGAATAATGAGTTATCAGATTCTGCCTTAGAAAATCCCATGTGAGCAAGATGGCCTTTGAGCGCATTATACCAAACCCGAGGAGCGTCAGGCCATAGATTGCCTTGCGCAACTTACAAATATGAGTTGGATTATCAACACAAGCAAAGCCCGGAGGTTGCGTCATGTACACTTCTTCTTCAAGGTCACCTTGAAGAAAAGCATTGTTGACCTCGAGTTGACGAAGTGGCCAGTGAAACCGAAGGGCAACAACAAGTATGATACGCACAGTAGTGGGTTTAACAACCGGACTGAAAGTCGAGTGAAAGTCAATGCCTGACCTCTGAGTGAATCCTTTTGCAACTAATCTCGCCATGTAACGATCAACCGACTCGTCTGCTTTCCTTTTAATCCCGAAAAGCCACTTACATGAAACAACATTCTTAGAGGGGTCATATGGAACTAGTTCCTAAGTATGGTTTTTCAGTAAAGCATCAAATTCTGAATTCATGGCTTTCCTCCACTCAGTGTCTTTTGGGCTTGTTTGAAGGTGTGTGGCACAAGAGATGGTTCTGAGTAGGCTAGGTAATCAAAAATCTGTTTTGGCTTCTGGATATTGTTTTGTGAGCGGGTAACTATACGAGTAGGGGGGTGGGTACGTGTGGTGGAGCAGGGGTGGGTACATGTGGTGGAGCAGGGGAAGGTGCCATTGAATTGGTTGATTTGGGGTGTGAGGAACGACGATTGTAGACTATCAGAGATAGGGTGGGTGGTTTTATAGAGGGATTGGAGGCTTGGGGTCTCACAGAAGGCTTAGGGGATGGTTTGGGCAGCTGGGATCTTGGGGAATTGGAGTTGGAGAAGGAGTAGTACACATACCTGGAGTAGAGCTCTGTGAAGGAGGGGAAGCCGCATCTTCCGCTAGTGTTGTGCCGGATATGGTGGACTGAGGCGTGTTTAGTGGAGATAGAGGAGGAGGTACCTGTGGGGGCTGGGACTCAGAAGTTACGTGAGGTGTGGGTGCTTTAATGAGAGGGGGCAAATCAAAAAGAGGGGAAAGGTTGGGGGTGGAACTAGGTAACTTATCAGTAGTTGTAGTTGTCCAATCTAACTTAGTGGGTCTAATAGTAGCATTAGAGAATAAGATTTTGAAGGGAAAATTATTTTCAAGAAATTGCACATCTCTTGATAAATAAATTTTTGAAGAAATAGGATCAAAGCACTGATAACAATGATGGGACAAAGAGAACACGAGATATACACATGGTTTAGACTTAGGGTCAAGTTTATTTTTAGAGTACGGTTTAAGCCAGGGATAACATAAGCATCCAAAAGTCATTAGAGAGGCATAGTCAGGTGACTTGCCAAATAATTTTTCAAACGGGGAAGAGTTATTTAAGAGTGATTTGGGTAGACGATTAATTAAATACACAGCATGGTGACATGCGAAGGACCAAAAAATCGGTGGAAGAGACGTCTCATGTAAAATTGTTCTTGCAGTTTCAATAATATGACGATGTCTACGCTCAGCAAGAGCAACTTGTTGAGGCGTATAGGGTGGGGTGGAAAGATGTTCGATGCCATGAAGCGAGAGATAAGAGTCAAGACTTTTATACTCTCCTCCACCATCAGTATAAAGCGATTGAATTTTGGTATCGAAATATTTTTCCGTTAAAGGGTGGAATTTTTGAAACAACTCCTTGACTTCACTTTTATTTTTTAGTGTATAAAGCCACACGTATCTTGTGTATTGGTCAACAAAGATGCAATAATATAATTTTTTTATCAAGGGACAAAACAGGAGAGGGCCCCCACAAATCACTAAAAATAATTTGAAGCGGTTTAGAGCTTTCCAAAGTTAATGTGTGGAACGGAAGCCTATGGGATTTATTAGACAAACATGAATTACAATAATTAAACTTATCTCGTTCAACAAATGGTAGCGAGAATTTATTCAAGACATAATTAAGAACTCTAGAATACGGATGACCCAGTCTTTGATGCCAAGTGGTCAGAGAGGTTGTAGTGGTAGATATGTGAGCTTGTGGATGAGAATTGGGCCACTCATACAGTCCATGTTTCTTCCGGCCGTACACCAGCGGGGTTCGCGTTTTCAGATCCTTCACAACAAAAGAGAAGGGAAAAAATTCAATAGATGTTAGATTATCATGACATAGCTTGGATACAGATATAAGATTGCGTTTAATGGCTTGAGCACATAGAGTATTATTTAGGTTAAAAACATTATTTGATGCTTGTAACTGTGTAGAACCAGTATGTGAGATGGGAATTTTGTTACCATCACCCATGGAGACATCTTCGTTACCGTGGTACGGTTGTAGGTTATGCGGCTCCGTTGTGATGTGATGTGTGGCACCAGAGTCAACTATCCACGGGTTAGCAGTAGTGTTGAAGCCTATGATGTAATTGGCTTTGGCCTCAAAATGATTGTGGGACTTGGATCTACAAACACTTGCAATATGGCCAATCTTGTTGCATAATTGACAACGAATAACAACAGTGGTGTTATTGTGTGAGGGATGATACTGGCTCGCATTATTGGGGCGAGCATTCTAGCGCCATGTTTGAGAGTTATTGGTGTTGTTGTTGTAGTATTGGCAGCGATTATTGCGATTGTTGGAGTTGTTATTTGACTTGTTGTGATTGGCAACTGCTGCTGTGATAGGACCAGGGGTTTTCTTAGCTTCCTCATGACGAAGAAAGAGC